GAGCAAGGTACTTTGTACTTCCCACCTAACTTCACCCCAAAGGCAGGGGAGTGTTTGGTTTGAAGGCACACCTGGTGTTCTGGGAGGACTGTGGGTGACTATTAGAAAAGTTCAGGGACCACCTTAGCATCAAATGGTGCAGGTGGTGAGTGAGACCATTAGACCAGCCCTCCTCAGACTTTATACACATTTGAATCCCCCGGGACCTTGTTAAAGTGCAGATTCTTATTCAGCAGCAGGTCTGGGATGAAGCCCAAGAGTTTGCATTTCTAACCACTTTCCAGGTCACGCTGACCCTGCTGGTCCAGGGACCACACTTGGAGTGGCAAGGACAGTGCATCGCACATTCCTTCCGCCTCTCTTATCCCCCAGTCAATTGGAAGTAGGAGTCTGCTTCCAAGTCTCCTTGGGTTTAGGACATTTATCCCAGATTTTCAGCACAAGTCTCATTTTCATATTATCCCATAAACACACTCATAGCTGTCAGGCTTGGCTTGGAAAATCTGGGTAACATACCTAGGGCGGGAGTGTGGCACAGCGCTTAAGAGCATGGGCTAGGGAGGCACATTCTCTGGGTTCAAATCTCACCCCGCCAGTGACTACTGTGTAATCTTGGGTAAGTTCTCTCTGCCTCAGTTTCTTCATCTATAAAATGGTTGGTAATAGTGTTGGCCTCATAGGACTCTGATGGGTATAAAATGTGTTAATATTTGTAGACCACTGAGAACAGAGCCCTGAATGGAGTAAGTTCTTTAGTAGTCAAGAGTCCATCCTCCATCCCATGCCAACGATCGCTGCAGTGTCCTTATCCTCATTGGATAGCAGCACTGAATCTGAAGTGAGCTTCTTCTAAACTGAGTAGTAACGAGACCCAAATGTTTACATGCTCTGATCGAAACTCTGATTCAATGTCCCTACAGATTCATTTTTCAAAAATTGGGGGGAAGTAAGATCGTGTCCTAAGGTTACTTGTCGTGTGGGGAAACTGCCATCTAACCCCCAATTTGCACACTTCTAAAACCACAGTAAGATGCGTGTGATTAAGAAAGGGTGGGTTACTCATTGAGGAAAAATAATTATTTTGAGGTTTTAGGCAAACTTTCCATGGAGGATTGACGCCAGGTTCTGTGCTCCAGATGGCCCCATTGGGTGAGCCAACAGCGAAGGGGAAGACTGACGTCCTTCCAAGTAGACCCTGGGTTGCCATTAATGAACCCCAGCTGTACTTGGCAACCCCCTCCCCCCATCTGTTTCATGTCTCTGCAGCCCACTGGGGAAAGGGGGCTTCAGAAATCAGGACTGGTGCAGGCCTGGCTGAGGCGTGCAGCTGATGACCTTCCTGTTCCCACATGCCCATGGTCACTGGTGACAGATAAGCTGCCGTGGGCTGTGGTTTCTCAGTGACACACCCATTCTGTGCTTGCCCACATGCCAATCCTGTGGGGCTTGCATCAGGGAACTCTGAAATGTACCCTGCTGAGAACCAGAGTCCTGACACCAAAAGATTCTTGTTCCTTCCTGGCAGCGCCACCAGCAGCCACTTTTGCAGATGTTGCCTTTGAGATATGTCCATCCTGGAGTTTGGTCCAAGAGGCCTCAATCTGAGCAGCGCTTTGCCCATATGTACGCCAGGGCCTACTCAGAGAAGGAGGCAAGATGTCTTAGTACCATGGCTGGCTCCACTCTAGGTGGTGGGAAGGGGTGGGAGGATGCTGGGCGCTGAGCCATGACCTGGGAAAGACCCCTCTCCTAGCTTGGCATTCCTCAGCCTGTGAAGGGCCAGGCGTTGCTCCAGCGTCCCCACCCCAGCATCCTGCTCTCCATTGGCCTCTCACGATGCACTCTAAACAACTGGCCTGCAAGCACGTCATGGAAAGTCAGCTCTCGGATTCTTTGAAGCTGAGCCAAAGACCTGAACTCTAGAGATCCCTTTCAGAGAGACGCTCAGAAATACACTCCTAGGGGCATGTGCCGGGCAGGATGAGGTGGCAAGACCTTGAGGGATCTGGCTCACAGGCCTGGCCTTATTGCCTCCCCAGTGTGAGCTGAGGGGCAACATGCAGTCACCCTGAGAAACAGTCCTCATTTCATTGTCTAACCCAGTGATTTTCAACTGGTGTGCTGCAAGTATTTTTAAAACATGCAATATCTGACTAGTTAGGGGCACTGACACTTTTCCCTTAGATTGTAAAATAAAAAAGTGACAAAAGCCAATACAACAATAGCCGCCCAGTGTAGCTGAATCAAAATTACACCTATTATTTGTCAGATCGGCAAAAAGTGTATAGTCGTTGGTGTGCCACAGAATTCTGGAAATTAGTTTATGAGATGAAAAGGTTTGAAAATCCCTGGCCTAAACTAATGTTTGGAATTCTAACAGATGAAGCAGAGTTCTGAAGACTGTTTGTAAAAGACTCTACTCCAAGTCCAAATATTAGTTTGTTTCAGGCTTTGGGGAGAGAGCTAATCTCTAACAGCAGCTGCCATGTGCTGGCAGTGTATGTGTGTGACTTCATTATGAACTGTCTTTATAAAGCAAATGCTTGGCTGGCTTGTCAAGGGCTGGGTTAAGGTCTCAGTTGTGCCCAAGGCCAACAAAGTGCGGCCAAGTGGTGGAAACCAGGTCAAAAGATTTGTTCAGGGGTAACTTTGAGGGTAGAAATAATGAGTTCCTATCAATTTACCTTTCAGAACACGTGCTTTTTGAGGTTGGTTTCATCAACTCTGACCCAGAGTTAGCTCAAGCAAAGATGCGGGACACTGCTTCTTGGTTTATTCATGAAATAGAATTATGCACAGCAAGCCATCTTGCTGGGAACTCTATAGCCGGGTTCAGTGACTTACTTCCTTTTTGTGGTTCAAAAAGGAATCAAGTTTGAGATCACGGCTCTTTCTTACTAGCAACTCTGGCCAAATGAGTATTTTTGAGTTTGTTATAGATGTTCCTTAGCCACATGACTGCAGCAACATTACTAGAATGTAACTGAGGAGGTGACTACTCTATCTGAGGCAGGGAGTGGAAATTTTGGGACAATGCTTCTAAATTAAATTTGTTATAAAGACTGATTGGCAGAGTCATAGAACCATGGGAATCAACTCAGGTAATATTTTTCACCACCTCTTCCTAACGCTAGGGACCATGCCTCAACCACCAAGGACTTCTAGAGGAGTGCTTCTTGAATTTTAATGTGCACATGAATCACCTGGGGATCTTTAAAAAATAAATTTTAGAATGTGGTAGGTGGAGGTGGGGCCTGAGATCTGCATTCCTAATAGGGTCACTGGTGACATGGATGCTGCTGGTCATTGGACCATATTGTGACTGACAAGGATGATGTACAGACCAGTATCAGTATCACCAGGAAACATGTGAGAAATGCAAATTCTTGAGCTCTACCTGTAGAATAAGAAACTGGGGCTGGGGCCCAGTGGCTGGTTTTTGTGTGATTGTGATGCCCGTTCAAGTTTGAGAACTGGTCTACAGAATGAACTACCTGTCATCCTTAGTGTAACAAATGTCAACATTTAATAATCCTTTACTGCTGAAAGGTTTCCCTTAGGTCTAGCTTCAAATCATTTTGCTTAATTACTCTATTCATTTTAGCCTTTCTTGGAGTCATCTTTTTTATTTTTAATCCTCACCTGATATTTTCCATTGATTTTCAAAAAGAGGAAGGGAGAGAGAGAAGAACATTAATTGGTTGCCTCCTGCACGCACCCCTGTTGGGATCAAACCCAGGGGTCCTTGCAAATGCAAATGACCTGATTGGAAATAGATCCCACAGCCCTTGTGATGCACGGGATGATGCCCAACCAACTGAACCACTGGGCCAGGGCTCTTTTTTTTTTTTTTTAAATATATATTTTTATTGCTTAAATTATTACAAAGAGTATTACATGTTTCTCCTTTTTTTCCCCCGCACTTGACAATCCCATGTGGGCCAGGGCTCTTGGAGTCATCTTTTAAAGTTCCTAACCATAGAATTTGAGGCCTAGAGGAAAATGTAAGACATGTTCTGATTCTTTTTCCTCGTGTTTTATGTTCCCCTATGAGCCTTATCTACCTCCGAGCTTTCAAAGTAGCTGCTGGAAAACATTAAAGTGAAAGTTAAGTTGAAGAAATACCTAAAACCATTTGTTGTTATATTTTATCCGTGCTCATCACTTTCCCTGGTGTCAGAGGTTTAGGTCATTCTGCTTTCTTCAATTTGGTGTTTAAAGATATTTTTGCACTGCCTTAGAGCTTCAACTCCTATACTAGTATTGTCTAAATTTTTTTCTATAAAGGACAGAGCAGTGGGAAAGAAGAATTGAACTCCACACAAGCTTTTAAACCATTTTATTGAATTTGAAATTAAATAGAGGCCTGGGGAGGTTGTTCTGGGGACAATTAACGCACAGAAGCTAACAATTCCATGGACTGCTATACAAGAGGGAGGGCATGAGGGGCACAGAGCACTTTTTAGAAGGCACGGGAAACAGAGGTTTCAGAGTCAGGCAATAATTCTTGCTGTACAGAACTTTTCAAACTGGATTTAATATCTATACAATCTGACTTTAGGGGAGAAGGCTGTAAACTCCTCTTTCTTTAAGGCTGTGAGTCCCTGATGAAGGGGGACACCCCAATGATTATGTGATTGAGTTTGGCAACTCCAGACCAAAGAGCAGCGTACCCTTCTTGCTGGAATGCGTTCTGGTGGAGGAGTAGCCAAGTATGAGCTGCACTGAGGCCCCTGTACTTAGCTCAGAGGAGACAAACCATGTTCCCATATTGGGCATCTGGGGGTATCCTGTCCTAGTTCTGTGTCGGTATTACTGTGAGTTTCCACTTCCTGAGAGTAGATGGCCCAAATAGCCATCTGCTGATGAGTGGAAACTGGATGCTCTCAGAAGCCTTGAGTCTGGAGCTAGATTTTCTAGGTTCCCCACTTCCTAGACCTGCCCAACATTAGCCTTTGATGTCCCACAGACATTTATACAGTGGTCCTTGCAAATGCATACAGAAATCCCAAATAAAATTCCATTTACTATTTTTTTTCTAGTATAGAGCTTTCAAGTTGAGCAGAAAGACATATATCCAGATAATTGGGGGCGGGGGGGGGGGGCGGAGAGTACTAGTATAACGATAAATAACAATTACCAGGAAACTCACAGTGGGAAAGAGTATGGTCAGATGTTCACTCCAAAGGACTTAAGATGTAAAACTAAACAACCCACTGATTTTGACCTTAATAAATGACCCAAGACATATGGTAACAAAAGCTCTATCAAAGAAATTGGCCCACAGCTATCAATTGCTTAACCACTTCCTCTCCAACCCATGAATTTATAACATTAGAAACTTTTCATAATGAAGTATAGGGTGTTAGGAAAGAAAGTGATGGTGGCATTTTCACCAAGTAGAGCAGTGGTTCTCAACCTTCCTAATGCCGTGACCCTTTAATACAGTTCCTCATGTTGTGGTGACCCCCAATTTCATTGTTACAAATTGAACATAATTAAAGCATAGTGATTAATCACAAAAACAATATTTAATTATATATGTGTTTTCCGATGGTCTTAGGCGACCCCTGTGAAAGGGTCATTCGACCCCCAAAGGGGTCGTGACCCACAGGTTGAAAACCGCTGAAGTAGAGCATGTGCTAACTGATTAAGTGTTGAGAGTTCTAGTTCATTGCTTTACGTTAATGGTTGGCCAGGTTTTCCAACTTGAAGAAACATATTTGACAGAGTGAGAATATTTCAAAACTCTTAGAGAATTGAGAGTCAACTTCTAGTTATTCAGTTATTCACGTTTGGAAAACATCTAGTTCTGGCTTTTCTTTTTCCCAACACTTACTCTATCTTCTTCCTACCCCTCACTCACTATCCCCTATCTCATTCTGAACCTTTTCACAGCTCATTAGGCAATTCAAATAAAGGGTGGGCAAAGAATATAATGCAAAAATATAATGGGTGTAACTCAAATTTGAAATTGACTCGGTAATCCTAGAACTGGAATTGGTATGGGTAGGAAGAACTTGAGAGTCTTGGCCAAATACATTCTTTTGGTTATTGTTAGTCATCAATCAATGAATGAATTATTATTTGCCTATTAACATCTTGAATCATGAATGGTTTGGTTTTTTGTAATTATAAATATTTTTAAGATATTAAGAATATGCTTTGGTTGTCATTTAGGTAGATAATAAATTTGCCCCCAATGATCAGAAGAGGTAATATCTATTGAATGAACCAATATAATAAAAATAAATCAAGATAATAATAAATCAAGATAATAAAAATATACCTGTCCTGCCGTGTCATATAGTCCGAGCAAGTGTTGCTTGTCTCCCACGGTCACAGTAACTAGGGGAGAAGAGAAGAGGAGAGCCCATAAATACAAGCTTCAATCAGGAGCCTTCACATTTCTCTATGCCAACATCTCTTTGGGCAGCGAGGATAAGCATATGCCTCATCCATGTATATTGATGACAGCATGATTTCCAAATGAAAGACAACCTTGCGCCCTAACTGGTTTGGCTCAGTGGATAGAGCATCAGCCTGTGGACTCACAGTTCCCAGGTTCGATTCTGGTCAAGGGCATGTACCTTGGTTACGAGCACATCCCTAGAAGGGAGTGTGCAGGAGGCAGCTGATCGATGTTTCTCTCTCATCAATGTTTTTAACTCTCTATCCCTCTCCCTTCCTCTCTGTAAAAAACCAATAAAATATATTAAAAAGAAAAGAAAGACAACCTTGGGCTGCAGTAAGAGTGGATGGGCTGAGCCAAGTCCAAGTTTTTCAGATGAGATTGTTATTGGGGGAAACTGGGGTATCATTTTCCCATGGACTGCCAGGGTTGGAGTCCTTACGATATCTGGAGAAAAAGAATTTTCTGAGACTTGCATGTGAAGATCAGTGATTTTTATTTGCATGGGATTACATCCCTGGGTTTCTAAAGTCCCATTTCCCTTAATCCAGTCCTGGAAGAAGTATAATTGTGGTTACAGTAGAGCTAAAAGCAAAGCCAGTGCCCCGGGTTTCCTTTCCATGTTGCAGCCGGGTCCAGTTCAGCATCAGGCTAATTTCAGTCCATCAGTTCATTGTGTGTGGGGTCCACATGGCCTGCAGGTGAGCCAAGAGAGCAGCGCTCCCCTCCCCACAAAAGAGTCCCAAGAGGACAAAGAGAGAGAACTTCTTCGTTCAGGAGATTAAATATTCCAAATTTCTTGCCCTTGCAGTGGCCAAACCCATTCTGGTCAATGACCTATTCCAGGTGTGACTGACAGTAAAGTACCCTCCCTATGTCACCCCAACTGTACTGGGCATTTGTCTATCTTCCCTTGCTGGACCCCTGGAGAGTACAAAATTGTAGCTTCCTGGCAAAGCTGCCCAAATGACATGCCTATAATACTTGGCCTTCCCTTTGCTCTTTTCCTGTTCTTAATAACTAGGTTAATTACAATGATATCAAGATGAATATCATTGGTGACACTAAGGCACTCTGTAGAATTCTCATTGATTCTTATTAAGCCTTAAAATATTAAGCTCCTGAAGGAAAAAAATGCTGAACTTTTTATTGGTTATTTTTTCATTTTGTTTGGTTTGAGCCATCTTTCAGGACACAGAATTGTGTAAGCAATCTGTTAGAAATGTCTGTTTTTATCTGTCTTTGAAATGTTAATAAAACCCCCAAAACAAAGAATATTAACCCACCTGCATATTTTATAATCTATAAGGCAGAGCAAATAATGAAACAAGATGGACTTCATATTTATTTTTAAAAAGTTTCTTAAATGGAATATTCCCGTGCTTTAGCTCAACTAATTCATTATAATTTTGAACCTCAGTTGCAGGAAGACATGTTGTATGGGTTCAGTTTCAGATACCTAAAGGGTGTATGTAGAGTGAAAAGTGGAGAGTTTGATTTACCCAGCAGGCCTACTGCTTTGCCAAGCAAATTGTATCCAAAAAATGAGAATAGAGGAATACCATCCACTCTGTACATGTCTGGAAATGAAATAAAGTCTCAACTTGAAACTAAACTGAGATTGAACAGATTGAAAGCATAATACACTTCTCTTGGTGAGTGGAAAGAGCAAAGTTAGATTTCTAAAAAAATTTAATTTCTCTTTGGAAAAAGGATGTAAAATAATAAAGGAGAACGTGATTTTTCCTAGTTGATTAAAAACTGCAAATGCAATGTAAAGGTGCCTTCTACCATTAGCTATGCAGGAAAGAGAAACTGAATTAGCAATCTTTTATTTTTATTTATTGATTTTAGAGAGAGAGGAAGATAGAGCTAGAGAGAGATCTATTTGTTGTCCCACCTATTTATGCATTCATTGGTAGCGTCTTGTATGTGCCCTGACTGGGGATCAAACCCACAACCTTGGTCTATTGGGGCTGACACTCTAACCAACTGAGCTACCCAGCCAGAGCTGAATTAGCAACCTTTTAACCAGTTAACTGCCACGATATTTTGAATTTAATTAAAAAAGGTCCACCACTTGCGTCTATAGACGCTTATGGCGTGCAAATGGTTAAAACCCTATCTCCAACATATTCTCCAGTCTGCTGCTCAGAGTTGCTGATTTGGTACTGATTTGACTTTTATTTGTTTTCAGGTTGATGGGCTACATGTATGCAAAGTACTTCTTAAGGGGCTCATTCTTTGCAAAGCACCTGTTTAAAAGCACTGCCTCCACACACTGGGAATTTTTTTTTTTTTTAATTTACACAGGTCCACATGTGTTAAGTTTGACAACCTCGCTGTAGCCGCTCAGCTTTTAAACGTGCACTTTAACGTGGTGAACCCGGCTCCATCCAACCCTGGTGACAACACTGACAGAAGGGATTTTAAACCTTTTTACGTCCTTTCAAACGCCAGGCTAGTGATGGAAGTGAAGGTGAGCCGGCGTGGCCCTCACTCTTGGCCCTGCTCTGTTTTTCTCTTCCTGAATGCTTTTGCGTAAGTCCAGCCCTATGTTCCTGAACTCTGCCTAAATGCTTCCTTTCGTGGCCAATTCACTACCTAGTCACGGATCAGGAACCAAGGGAAGAAGTCCAGCCATTTCCAGGAATTTCCTACCTCTACCAAGCCCAGTGCATGCCGGTCAGGGGCAGCTGTTCCAGGGACCCCTTTGGGCCATGCCACGACCTCCAGGCCCAGAGCCTCCTGTGGTGCAAGCCCTAGCCGCTGTCACCCCAGGCTCCACCGAGAGCTGCAAACATTCCTGAGCAATGGCCCTGACCTTTGGCATGGGAGTCCTGAAGCTCCTGCTCGGGTTTTCAGAGAACCATTCCCTCAGCCTGCTTCTCCCCAGGCCTCCCCCTTTTCTCCCTTGGCAGCGCTGGGGCCAGCCCAGGAAGGGTGGGCACGGGCCGAGAGCCTTCTCCTCCCGCTGGCCTCCCCCCCTCCAGGGGCCTTTGCGATCCTGGTCCTCTCACTACTGGGAGTAGGAGGCCTGTGGGAGCGTGGAGAGGAGGGGTTACCAGCAAGGCGTGGGCAGGGTGCAGCACAGGAAACACCAAGCCAGGGCTGCGTGGAGAGGCTGGGAGCTCCCTGGAGGGGTATGACTGTGCGTGCGTACGTGCGTGTACGTACATGTGCGTATACGTACATGTGCGTGTGCGTGTGCGTGTGCGTGCTGTGGGGCGTGGGAACGCCAGAGGGGCCTGCTGGGTGTGCGCATGCGCACCGCTGGAGCGCGGTCAGAGAGGGCTTTCCGGAGGAGGTGTGTGAGCTCAGTCCCCAGGATGGCCACAGGTTCCCCAAGGTGCATCCGCAGAAGGGATAAGGGCGGTCCAGGAGCCACCAGGGTGTGCTGGGGGCGGGGCACGGGGTGGCGCACCAGCTCCCTGGGGTGCATGGGGAGATGGGGCAGAAGAGGTGGGCATGCAGGGTGGGGCTATGCTGATTCACGAATGCAGCCTTTATTGGGAAGGCTTTGTTGATCAATGAAAGCCCCCAATTCTTCTCCCCCCCCCCCCCCCGAAAGTGAAAGAGAAGGAATGAAAACAATTTCCTTGGGTTCTGGCAAATGGCGGGAAGATGGAGGGTGACCTGTTGGGGTAGAAATGGTGTGGTTTTCAGCTCTGCTGGGCAGTGGCTGTCTCCTCTGTGTGCTTGGCCAGCTCTGCTGGAGGAATCGAAAGGAAGGGAGCAGGGCTTGTGCCCCTGGCTCTGGAAGTCACTTTTATTCTCTCTTCTCTGCCCTTTCATTTTCCCATTCTATCAGAAGATAAGTGGATCGCACAGTTGATGCTAGAGAACATCTAGGGATAGCCAGAGACAGATCCAGGCGTTAATCACAGATGTGGGTTGTCCAAATGGCTTTGTGAGCCCTTATCTTGGACTAGCAGTGGAGGCCTTATTGTTGCCAACAGGCTGCAGTGTCCTCTGAGGCCCCTCAGTTTGGAAATGAATCAGCCACAGCAGCACGAAGGCAGGTGTGCCCTAAAATGCTAACAGTAAATGTAGTGAGGTTGAAAGAGCAGGATCTAAGTCAGGTGGGTCTCATTACAATCCTGCCTTTGCTATTCGCTGTCTGCGTGACCTTGGGAAAGTCCCCTAGCATCTCTGAGCCCTTGTTTCCTTATTTGTTAAAAATGGGGATAGCGTTGCCTACCAAAGTGAGGACTTGTGAGAAGGAAATTAAATGCCTGGCACACAGCCTGGCCCATCCATAGTGGGTGACGAACAACTGTTCTTTTCTCTCCTTCAGCAAATGCTTATTAAACCTCTTCTAAGGACAAGTCTGTCTTGCTCTCCACTGTATACCCAGTGCACATTAACTGGCACATAGTAGGGTCTTAATATTTGTGAATTACTGGTCACTTTCTGTCCTAAACAGTAGCTATTTAGATATTTGTCTTATATCTCCAACTGGACAGGAAGGTCCTTGAGAACAGGATTCCCATACCCCATGTCCCACACAGTACGCAGCACAGATCCTGGCAAGCGTAGTAAATGCTGAACACAGAAATGGAGCACCAGGGGCAACTCAGGCAGAGGAGAGTCCTTCAAACTGTGCAGACCTGCAGTTTGAGGCTCCTGGCAAGGCCTAACTGCTGGGAAGTGCCTGCAGCCAGCAAATCTGCCTGGCAGACAGCAGTCAGGCTGAAATCCCAGATCACCTTCTCTTCTCAGACTCTTAGTGTTGTTTCTGAGTTTAGAGAGGTTTTAAAGAGAGTGGGTCATATGACATGCTCAGACGGTTCTCTCCACAAAGTGTGAAAAGTTGTCAGTGACCCGTTAAGTATGTAAAATGGAGGCCTTCTTTGTAAGCCTTTTGCTTCCTTGTGTTGCTTCTTTGTGCAGATTGAAGTGGCCTCTGTGAGTTGGAGTGAAGTCTAAGTCCTGG